ATTTTGTGGACAGGATGTTTTTTCCTTGTGGAACGCCCCCCCCCTCCCCTTTTTTGAGTAGATCTAATGTGTTGCTTGGTCCCTTGCTAAAACAGGAAGTGTCCTTTGTCTGATGCACCACTCTGTCATCTTTTATTTCTAGAATATATGCTCTTTTGTATTCTTGAAATAGCAAGTTCAATTGTACCTTTGTTTCCTGATTCCAATAAGCCCTTGTTTTTCCCTGTTAGTTATCACAGAAGGCAAATGAATACATCCACACACTATTGTGTGTGTGAACTACGTAATTTTACTTTGTATGTTGCCAGCTGTTTTAAGAGAAGTTTGAATTTTGACTTTATTTACAGGGCTTATCGTTCCCCACTCTGGGTTAGGAGTGGTGGTAAGCAGTTATTTTCATTCATGTTCAGATTTCTCTCACAAAGGAAGGTAGCTTGATCTCCTTTTAACATTTTTTTTATATCTTAAAATTTTGTGTGTATGAGTGTTTTGTCTGCATGTATGTCTGCAACATTTGCATACATGGTGCCCCCAGAGGCCAGAAGAGGGTGTTTGATCTCCTGGAACTGGAGGTATAGATGGTTATGAGCCTCTGTGTGGGTGCTGCGGACTGAACTCGGGTTCTCAGCAAGAGCAGTCAGTGCTCTTAACTGTTGAGCCATCTCTCCAGCTCCCAGGCGGCCTGATCTAAAATGAGGTTGTCCAGTGGCTGGGTTGGGGGTGGGTGGGTCCCAGTGCACATTTGTGTGCATGTTTGTGTAGAGGTTGACAATGTCTGGTGTCATTCCACAAGCATCCAGTTAAAAAAAAGGAGAGTAGAATATTTTATTATGCCCTGGATTCTTTGACAAATAGAATTCAGGGAGATTTTAAAAATGTTTATTTTTATGTGACTGTTTCATACATCTCAATAACGAATTTCAGTTGTTTCCATGCCCTTCATTACCCTCTCGTTTCCCCTCCTTTCCCACTGAAAGCCTTCTTGCCAAATCTTCCTCCTTTCATGTCTTTTTTTTTAAAATGAGACTTGTTTGTAAGAGTGTGGGTGAGAAGGTATTTATTGGCACACAGGCAATTTATCAGTGGCTGTACCACTGAACAAAATGGCGTCCCTTCCCCAGCAACCATTGACTGCCAAAATTTGGGGGGGGGGTTCATCCTGAGCCCCTCCTACCTGGCTTGGTGTCGGAATGGAATGTTGATGGGCTCCATTTTGCGCAGGGAACCACAACTGTGGTGGGTTCCCGAGAGAAGTGGTCATGTCCAGAAGGCATCGTTTTTTTGCAGCACACCCCCCATCCTCCAACTCTTGCATTCTTTCTGCCTCCTCTTCTTCCATGTGCCCTGAACCTTGGAGTGATCTAGATGTCCTGTTTGGAATCAGGCCTTCCGCTGTCACTCATCCCTCTTTTTGGTGACAAGAGTGTCTTGCTGAGCTGGGAATCGCCAAGCAGATTAAGCTGGCTGGCCAGCAAACCTCAGACATCTGCCTGTTTCTGCTTCCTCAGTGCTGGGATTAGAAGGACATGGCACCTTTTAACATGGTTTCTGGGGATAGAACTGAGGTCCTCGTTCCTGAAAGACAAGCACTTGACTAACTGAACTAACTCGTCAGTCTCTGGCTGGATTTTTAAATATGGAATCAGACAAATTAACATTCTACATAGGATTTGTATTTTACAGGACTTAGGGAAGTTAATTTTGTTCTTTATTGTATATATTGCTATGATTCAGTGGGGATCCACTGGAAGGTGGAGGACAGTCTTGTCCCCCAGGAGATACCTTTAAGAGGTTTTGGAGACATTATGCTGGGCATGGTGGTGTATGCCTTTTATGCCAGCACTTAAGAGGCAAGGGGACTCTGCCAGCCTGGTCCAGAGCTGTTACACAGAGAAGCCCTGTCTCAAAAATAAATAAATAAACAAGCAACAACAAAAAAAGAAAAGTTGGCTATGTTAGTTCTTATAGAGATAGTTATTCTAATTTGCTGGAGAAACTCATATTTTTTTAAAGATTCATTTATTTATTATGTATACAGTGTTCTGTCTGCACATATCCCTGCAAGCCAGAAGAGGGCACCAGATCTCATTACAGATGGTTGTGAGCCACCATGTGGTTGCTGGGAATTGAACTCAGGACCTCTGGAAGAACAAGCAGTGCTCTTAACTTCTGAGCCATCTCTCCAGCCCCGAAACTCATATTTTTGACCTAAAGCATTTATTTAAAAACTGCTTTTGGGGCCAGGCGGTGGTGGTGCACGCCTTTAATCCCAGCACTCGGGAGGCAGAGGCAGGCAGATCTCTGTGAGTTTGAGGCCAGCCTGGGCTACAGAGCGAGTTCCAGGAAAGGTACAAAGCTACACAGAGAAACCCTGTCTGGGGTGGGGGGGGACTGCTCTGGGGTTGGAGAGATGGCTCAGCTGATGAGAGAGAACACTTGTTCTTCCAGACATCAGTAACTACAATTGAAGGATTCAACACCCATTTCTTTTTTTTTTTTTCTAAAGATTTATTTATTATGTATGCAAGTGTTCTACCTGCATGTCTGCAGGCCAGAAGAGGGCACCAGATCTAACTACAGATGGTTTGAGCCACCATGTGGTTACTGGGAATTGAACTCAAGACCTCTGGAAGAGCAGCCAGTGCTCTTAACCTCTGAGCCATCTCTCCAGTCCCTCAACACCCATTTCTGACTTCCACACACACCAGGCACTCATGTGTGCACATATATACATATAGGCAAAATACTCATACCTAAAGAATATTAAGCAAAACCCAACAAAAAAACTCGACTCTTAAAATTGTCCTTTGGCTTTCTCTGAGGGCTGTCCTTGGTTGTCTGTGGTGATATTGTGTTCCCCAAAATATTGTGCACCCTAATAAACTTATTTGGGGTCAGAGAACAGACCAGCCACTAGATAGACATAGAGGCCAGAAAATGGTGGCGTACACAACTTTAATCCTAGTATTCAAAAGGCAGAGATCTGTCTGGATCTCTGTGAGTTCAAGGCCACACTGAAAACAGCCAGGCATGGTGACACATGCCCTTAATCCCAGGAAGTGATGGCAGGAGGCAGAAAGGTATCTAAGGCATGAGGACCAGGAACTAGAGCTGGATAAGCTTTTAGGCTTTTGAGCAGCAGTTCAGCTGAGATCCATTAGGATGAGGACTCAGAGGCTTCCAGTCTGAGGAAACAGGATCAGCTGAGGAATTGGTGAGGTGAGGTGGCTGTGGCTTGTTCTGCTTCTCTGATCTTCCAGCATTCACCCGAGTACCTGGCCCAGGTTTGTTTTTGTTAATAAGACCTTTTAAGATTCGTGCTACGGTTGTCAGCTTGACTCCATCTGGAATGAACTAAAACCCAAATGGCCAGGCACACCTGTGAGGGATTTTTTTTCTTAAATGAATTGCAGTGAGAAGACTCACTTCTAATCCAGATCTCTTGAGGTGGGAAGATGCACCTATAATCTGGGCTGCACCTTCTGCTGGCAGCCTGTGTAGAGGGCATGGAAGAAGGAAGCTCGCTCTCTGCCTGCCTGCCCTCATTCTCGCTGGCAAGTCCATTCCTTCACTGGCCTTGGAGCCTACTTCTTAAGGATTCCAGTATTTACTGAAGACCAGCTGGGACATCCAGTCTCATCAGCTGAACAACTACTGGATTCTTGGACCTTCCATTGGTAGACAGCCATTGTTGGACGAGCTGGACCACAGCCTGTAAGCCATCTAATAAATCTCCTTTCTATATATGTAGTGAGATTTCTTTTATAAGTTCTGTTCCTCTAGAGAACCATGACTAATACACTGCACTTTCAGGAGATTTTAGAAACTTAGAAAAAAAAACCTCATATAAACAATAAAAAAAGAAACTTACTAGTGAGGGAGATTAAAACAAATCAGTTTTACTTGTATTGGCCAGCTGATAAGATCACTGCCCAGCTAAGGACGATACCGATTCATGGACTCTATGGTGACTTCACCTGGAAGCTAGGGCATGGCATTTATCCATTTTGTTACCACACTTCCATGATCAAGGGTAGGCCGCATCCTCCAGAAGGAGTTGCCATCTTCACCGAAGCTTCAAATGAATGATCGAGAAAGAAGCTTGCTGAGGGAACTTGTCACGAGGGTCAGTGCCTGTCACCAGAATCATCTCAGTACTTCAGTTCCATTCAAACTTTCATTTGGAGAAACATGCAAGGTAGGCCTTGTGTTCGATAGTACCTTAAAGCCAAGAGTCTCTCTCTCTCTCTCTCTCTCTCTCTCTCTCTCTCTCTCTCTCTCCCTCCCTCTTTCTTTCTTTTTTTGACCAATCATAGTTAAGATTTGGACTTAATCCTGTGTAAACCTCTACATGAAAAGCAAGTAAAAGTGCCGTGCCCCCCCCAAAACAGTATTTTCTATGATGAACTGTATTCCCACTTTCTTGTATTGCTTTGTTACTGTAGCAATGTAGAGTTCCTTTTATCTTTCCAATCCCAATTTTCCAACACACTATACCAAAAATAAGGGTTTAGAAGGGAAATGGAAGTGAGGTCAGGATAGGAATTCCTTGTTTTTTGTTTTTTTTTGTTTTCTTACTTGAGACTTCTATACATGCATCTAATGTGTTTTGATCAAATTCCGTATCGTTATGAACACCCAGTATTTTTAACATTTTTATTTTATTATTTATCTTACACGTGTGGGTGCTTTGCCTCCATGTCTGTATGTGTACCGTGTGCATGCCTCGTGCCTACAAAGGCCAGAGGAGACCATCGGCTCTACTGCAACGGGGGTTACAGATGGTCTTGAGCAGCCATGTGCTGGGAGTCGAACCCAGTGCTCTTAATTGCTGAGCCATCTCTCCAGGAGTGTTTCTTACTAGAAGGAAGTTGTTTAACATTGCCACAAATATCAACAGAGCCAGTCACATCAGAGTTGGATTAGAACCTACAGAGTTCTTGGTAACAGGAGCACTGAGTGCTAGGCGGTTTAAAATAGATGTCATATGATGCCAATTATAACTCAGGAAAAATTTGCAGCCCTGGGAACCCGTGCCGAGCAGAAGCCAACATGGAGGATGATCCTGCTTTCTTTGGCTTTAAAAACATTTTTCTGACAATGTTTGCCACGTTTTTCTTCTTCAAGCTTTTAATTAAAGTTTTCTTGGCTCTCCTAACCCATTTCTATATCGTCAAAGGAAACAGAAAAGAGGCAGCTAGGATAGCAGAAGAGATCTATGGTGGACTCTCAGGTAAAAACACTTGAATTTATTCCCAACACCTCAAAAGGTCCTGCCTGAAAAATCAGATGAATAGTGTTTTTTGAAGGTAAGCGTTCCCTGTACTTTTGTGCTGAGTGTGTAGTCTTCAAGTGTACCTGTCACTGGAAGTAGAAGTAGCAAATGATGTTTTCTGCAGCAATTTCTGAAGGTTCTTCAACTTTATTTTCTAGTCCCAATTATTATTTAAGAAGTAAACAGAATAGTGGGTTATAAAGGCTATCTTGAGAGACTACTAACCAAAAGAGTTGTTACAGTCAAACTAATAAACAAGAGCATTGTAGTAAGACTAAGTTTCCTTGGGAATTTAAATGACCAGTTAATTTGATTGAAAAGCAGTCAGTGTGGCATGCTGTATGTATACATATTGTGGTGTCCTTTGCAAATGGAATTGATTGGCCATTTCTCACAGGAAAACGTCACTAAACCCATCTGTGTACCACTGACTCCACAGAAAGCCCCGGAAAGTGGAGCTTATCATCACAATATAATATTACTAAGGTTTGGGTAGAACATAAAACATCTTATAGTCTCGTGCTTTGCAGAGGCTGGTCTACATCCCTTTCCAGAAACAATTAGCCTTAATTGTGGTGAGATACTGCAGAAGTAACTGAAGCAGATATGCCCTCATTGCTGGGATTGCCCCTTCATGGAAGAGGACTATGGCGATGAGGAGGCGGCAGCTTTAGTCATAAACACTGTTCCGAGTTGCTGTATGTATTTTTAGTGTTCACAGGGGTTCCTGGATTGCATCATGCTTTAGTTGGTGTCTGTTTCAGTTTGCATCCAAGATTCTCTTTCAAAATAGACATGCTTTGTGATTTCAATGCACTAGACAACTTGGAAACCGCTAGGCATCAGTGGTTTTACACAAAGACACAAGAACTCTAAGACAAAGCATCAGAATGCTTCAACTAGCGGGTGAAGAAAGCATCAGAAGGCCTGGACTGTGGAAAGAGATTTCTTTTGGGGATTATATTTGTCACACATTCCAGGGAGGTATGTAACTTTGGTGGAAAAACATGAATGCTTCTTTTTAGTTTCAAATGAAGTGTGATTTAGGAAGGTATTTTTGACTTATGAATTTGGGCAGGGACTTGCTAGCATTTGACGTTCTGTTTTGATATGATTTCTATTAGACAAAAATCTAACAGGGATAGTAGCGACAGAGTGGGTAAAAGATTTTCTCCAGTCGTTCCTGTGCATGACTCCTGTCTTCCTGGTCCTCAGTGAAGTGTACTTCTAAGGGTGTTAGAAGACTCAGAACCTGTGTAAACATGCTTTGGATTTTAATCTGGAGCCAAATTTTGAAATCTCCTTAAGAGACTCATTCACTCTCTAGTGCAGCCATCCTGTTCAGGCTGCTGGGATGGTGCCCATTTTCAGATACTGTTAAAAAGAGGTGGTTGTGAGGCTAGTTTGTTTATTTTTTTTTTTTTGTGTGTGTGTGTGTGTGTGTATTTGTCTATGTACATGTGTGTCCTTATACCTCTCACATGTATGATAGTGCACTCAGATTTGATATGTCTTTCTATAATAAACTGGCAGTTAACATGCCCAAAACAGTGGGGCTTTTTTTTTTGCATGATTCTAATCATTGTTTTTATTTTGACATTATTTAGTTACATATGTAAAGCAGCAGAATTTTGTGAGCCAGGAATAGTGGTGCATGCCATAAATTGCAGCACTTGGGAGGCAGAGGCAGGTGGGTCTCTGTGAATTGGAGGCCAGCCTGGTCTACAGAGTGTGTTCCAGGACAGCCATAGCCACCTAGTGAAACCCTGCCTTGAAAAAACAAAACAAGACAAAAAAGGTTTTTTGTGACAGTGTTATTCTCACACCAGAAATCATCTTTGTGGTTCCTCTGTCAGACTAAGGTTTGTTTGGAAAAATATATGACAGTTCCTCAGTAAGTTAGTGAATTGACTTAGAAAGACTCTCTGCTCAAGGCAGAATTGCTCAGCTCTAGTATGCAGACATATTTGCACCAAATGAAAACACAAATAAAGAGGAGAAATTGTTTAACCTGAATTCTGGCCATGTTTTCTGCCAAAGCTGTAGCCATAAAAGTGGGTGAGGGATTTAGAAGTTGGAACATTTTACAGTTGCAGATGTGAGCTTGTAGAATAATAGAATCTTCTCTTAAAAAAGAAAAAAGAAACAATTTGAAGGGAAGACTAAAACATTAGTTCATTTTCTAAGTGCTACATTCCAAATCATTAGGTTTTGTTCCCAAGGGACTGATTTTTACTGGAGAGCCAGCCCTTCAATGACTCCTGTCCATTCCATTTCAGTATTCTGCCTTTGTTCCTCTTCTGTCCCAGCACCTACCTAACCTTTTGCCTTAGTTAGTTCCGTCTTTATTTCCTGAAACCTTGGCCTGTCTGTCCTCTGAGTGGTTAATATCTCCGGTGCCTGCTGACTATTTCCAAATAGGGACAACGAGTTCCTGGCAAAGGTTCTGCCTCCACACGTAACCTGTAGCTCAGCTCTCTGGCCCCTAATGGGTTCAAAGGAGCCTTCTTAATACAGGTCTCTGACCAAACTTCAGCTTCTGATCAGAACTGGATGTTCTAGTGAATATTCATTTAACCCCATTATATTATAACATTTTAGATATACCGGAATTTTCATTAAGGTTTTTCCCAGCGAACCCCATGTTCTTTAAATCTCATTAATTCTAAGTTCTTATCATTATTTTGATTCAGAAATGAGATGCATGACTTTTGTTGTCTTTCATAAACGCCACAGATGTGCTTCCTATGGTTTTAATGCTTGAACAAAGATTGAACACCATGTGGACCAAATATTGTAAACAGGTGGTCTTCTAGAATCATCTCACATTGTTGTTGAAATTTGACAAGGTAAAATCCTTGAAACAAAAATGTAACAGAATTATTGAATTTTATTTTGAATTCCTGGAACTTCAACATATTCCATCTGAATGGATTTTGTTATTAAATCAATAATTTGGGGGGGGTTGTCGTGAATTTTATTCAGACTCTGAGAACCAGAGCTACAAATCACAGCGTGAAAGAAGATGTGAAGGAGGAAATGAAAACATGCTTGAACATTTTCCATACACCTCATCAGGCACGCACATATTTGTAAACTATCTTCATAATATATTTGCAGTCCTGTGACCCAGGCAGGATGCCAAGGAAGTAAAAATAGAGTATCTTGGAAGGGAATGATTGAGTCCTATTTAAGTATTCATGTACTTGGAGAGCTTGGTTACATATTTACTGAAAGCAATGGAAAAATTCTGAATTTGCCAAATAACTTTAATCCTTAATTTTTTACAATTTGCTCCAATTTGCAACTAAGAAGGGTATGAGATCCTGTGTTGGGAACAAGAATAAAAACAAGGCACCCTTCGCTGTGGCAGATTCAGGAACATAGTTGTGTGAAGACCCTTCCAGGTCCTTTGTAGGAGACAGTCATCAAAACAGAAAAGGTTATTTCCTGGAGAGTGATTTTATTTCCAGTTGGGAATACAACAGATTTATTGCACATCTTTTTACAGGGTCTCACTATGCAGCTCTGGCTGGCTTGGAACTTACTATGTAGACCAGGCTGGCCTTGAACTCACAGAGATCTGCTAGCTTCCTGAGCGCTGGGATTACAGGTATACACACCACCATGACCATCTCAAACTTTTTTCTTTTCCTGAGACAGTCTCAATCTGATGCTGTCTTCAAACTCTCTTGTGTACCCGAGGATGACCTTGAACTTCTGATCCTTCCTTAGGCTTCTTTCTGTAGAGTACAGCATGCTCCACTTCCCCTGCTTTCTACAGTGCCAGGGCTTCCTGCGTGCTGGGCCAGAACGTTTCTAGCTTAGCTGCCTATATCCCAGCACCCATTTCACACTCTCACCAGGAATTACCTGATGCCAAAGGGCCCCGCTGCAAGTGAGTATAGCACAAGGAGAGGCAGAATTTAGAGGACAATAGTTCTTAAAAACAGAGCAAGGTCTGTTCTGAAGTCCGCAAGCCTTTTGTTCTAGTGCTTACTAGCCATGAGAGCTTTTTAATGGGAGTAAAATGGTTGTCATTCATTTTGGGGTATTCGTATGCATAAAGCAACACTCTCCCCGTCTTTCCTGGAGGTCATGGGGCTTTCGGCAAGGGGCAGGTAAGGGAAAGAATCTGCTTAGGCAGATGTTGGAGTGAATTGTCCTGTTGTGCTGTACAACCTGGGGATGGGCCATGGAGCTGGAGTCGCAAAGTAGAGAGGAAGTGAGGAAGAGACCCAAGGCAATCACCAGTGCCTTTTTCTTGGTGCAGTGGCAGGGGGCACCACAGGCATACCCAGGTGACCTCAGAATCATGAGCGAGAGTTGGGGGGCGCTGCTAAGGAGACTCTGGAGCAGGTAAGCAACTGTCAATGGGTAAGCAAGCCGCTGAGGAGCAGGCCTGTTGGTTCAGGGGTCACGTGCCCAGAGAGACCGCTGCAGCATTTAACAGCAAAGCCTATGACACTGAAAGGTGCCCCGCCTCCCTCAACCCCACCCCCGCCAAGAAATTCCGTGATGAGGGACTTCATCGGTGACTATGGTATTAGAAAGGCAAAAGCTCATCTCCTGGGGGGAGACTACATGGAGCTCTTACCCACAGCTAAATGTTCCTGTTTCCTGGCCTTTGTCCCATCCTTTCTGTGAATTGTAAGATGGCTACCGGGAAAGTCAAAAAGGAGGGTTTTGCTTTGTTTTGTTTTTTTCCTTTCCTCTTTTTGGCCGAAGTATACCAAATCCTTTTTTTTTTTTTCAAAACCAATTTTGGTGCCCTAATTTTCATTTCAAAAGTCAGGGTAGGAGAGTACTATGAATGCTAGCTCAGCCTGTGACAGGCTGAGACCTGGTGAGTGGGACGGACGGCCTCTTCCAGGGAACTGGGAGTCAGGGGCCATGTCCCCCTTGCTTCTTTTCATCTTCAAAGCACCTGGGAGAAAAGAGGTGGGAGGCCTGGGAAGAACATGCTGTCTCTTGGACCTCCAGCTGCTTGATGGAGCAGAGAGAGCCATGTTCTCTGCTGGGAGCCGGGGGAGATGCGTGGTGCAAGTTCAGGAGGGGGGGTGGAGTCATTTTAAAGACCCGAGTACAGAGACGTCCACCGGGGCTTAGTGAACATAAGCAGGGCCGACAGGAAGTGTGAGAGGCGAGTGTCAGTCTAGCTCCTACCATGCCCAGTTCCCGTCAGCCCCTACCCCTCCTCAGTTTACTTTTGACTCCTGACACCGAAGGTGAGTGCGCCTTCCTTCTTCCTTGACAGAAACAGAACCAACCCCACGGTGCACGCTTCTTTGGTTAGGGCTGTTTTCACTAGTCTTGCGTGGTTTATCCAAATGCTGCCTAGGGTTTGGGTCTAATGGGCCTGATAAATAACGGAAAGTTTAGAAAGTCTAGAGTTGGCTAACGGATGTGCTTAAGGTTCTTGCTTCTCACAGGGAAAGTGATCATCAGAGCCTGCACAGAGGCAAGTTTTGGGAATTATACATCCAGTTCCTGTTGACATCCTAAGCTAGAACTTTTAGGAGTAAGTGGCTGCTTGTCTTGTTTTTATGTTTGACCAGGTTAACACTCTAGGCTGAGTCTCCCTTACATGAAGTGCTTGGAATCAGAAGTTTTAGATTTCAGATTATTATTTTTTCCTCCCAGAATTCAGAATATTTGATATCTTGGGGGGGGGACCCCCTAGATTAAATACTAAATTCATACATGAAATTTCATGTAACATTTAAAAAAATTGGGGGCATGCATCTGAGTTCATGGGATGGAATTTTCTATGCATGGCAGTATTGTGTCAGCACTCCAGAAGTTTTGGATTTTGGAGCGTTCTAAAATTCTTTCTAAAGTTTTGATCTTCAGAGTAGAAATAAATGTTTAACCTGTAGTTCTTTGGGCACCCGGGGCTGACTAGCTAGCATTAGAACAACAGAATGCCAAAGGCACGCTGAAGACTTGCTGCTTCTGTTGCCCGGGCTGCTGGACTGCCAGTGTGGGTCAAGACTCCTGAAAATCCCGGGGCCCGTGTTCATGTCCAGTGTATCTGAAGCAGAGCTGCCAAGGACTGAGATGGAGATGTATGAGAAGGGGACTGGAGATGAAATGCAAGGAGATGTTCAAGGAGATTCAGAAATATTCTGCTCACCGGCTGGGCCTTGTCCTCTAGCTTAACAATTCCATTAGCAGCCTTGATTGGTAGCTAGTATTTATTTTCAGACATGGTATGGAATGCTACAGTATTCAGTAAATGAAAACAAGGATGCAGTAAAGAATGCTAAATGAGCCAGGTCTTAAAATTCACTTTTCATTGTCTTGGTGGCTAGCCAAGCAAGGTCCACAAGATGTAACCTATATGTAAAACAAATTAAAAAAAAATTATTGGTTAAATTTGACTTAAAAGTTCATTGTCCCCTTTATGTCCATTATTATTTTTCTTCTGTTTTACTGGTATGGAGTGCTCTGGGCTCAACTTTGCTATAGAATATCATTTTTTGCTTTTTGGGAAACTTCTCTGAATGTGTTAATTTGGATGTCCTTAAGAACCAACAGGGCCAGGTAGTGGTAGCGCATGCCTTTAATCCCAGCACTTGGGAGGCAGAGCCAGGTGGATCTCTGTGAGTTTGAAGCCAGCCTGGTCTACAGAGTGAGTTCCAGGAAAGGTGCAAAGCTACACAGAAAAATCCTGTCTCGGAAAAAAAAAAAAAAAAAAAAAAAAAAGAACCAACCGGTATACTTCTTCCCAACTTGACTGCTTCTCTCACACCTTCAATCTTACAAAGGTTCCGTTCTTCTCCAAAGGCAGTTCACCTCAATTGTAGCTGGTCTTGGAAAGCCTGAGTGGGAAAAGTGTGGCACAGCGAGAAACACTTCCCTTTGAAGTAAACCGTCACACTCACCAGCTTTGAACCAACTCAGAAGTAAATGGAGATAAAACACAGCATATGTTTGTTTATATCAAACCCTTTTATGTTTTTTTTCTTTGTTATAAAAGCATTTCGCATTCATAGCAGGAGTACGAGATGACAGACCATTTTTTATCCCTTTGGTTTTTTTTTTTTTTTCCTTTCGGTTAAAAATTATTTTCTGGAATTAATTTGAACAGAAAAGCTACAAGATCCATACAAAGAATTCCTAGTCTCCTGCCAAAGCCCTCCATTCATGTTTAGCTAACCACTCCAATAATATCTTTTCAAGCAAAGGGATCCCACTCAAGGTCTTGCCTTCCACATTCCGCTTCGGTCTAGGAAAGATTCCCCCAGCTCTTCTGCAACTGGCTCTGGGCCAGGTCCTTTACAGACTGCCCCTTGGTGGAAGCTGCTGCACAGTTTGCTCTGAAGAGTCAGGCTCTGCTTTGAGGGCATGAGTAGACTCAGGCAGGGGGATAGAGTGTCCTTCACACTGTGTTCCCTCTCATACCATGTCTTGTGGCTCATTGCATTCAATCAGATGGCACCCGGTGCCAACTTGTTTTTTATCAATGCTTGTGTTTTCCTTTGAAGACCTGGGCTGGTCAAGATTGTTTCTACATTTCTCTAGTATAAAATTATGCACATTCCCTTTATTATTAATATAGTGATAATGTGAACCTGATCCTGTTATTTCTTCTACATTTGTCTTTAGTTAGTATCTTTTAGGAAGAAGCACATTATCCATATTGATGTCTTACTTATATCAGCAAGGACTTATAGGTTCCTGGTTTGATAGAATGTATTTTCTTACTCTCATTGCTTATTTCCATGTGCAAATTGTCCCATATTTGACTACAAGAAGCCCCTGAATCACTATCTTTTTGACATTTTCTGTCTTTCCTCATCCTTCCTTTCTGTTAGAGTACACACACACCCCTCCAGCCTGGGGTCAGCTACTCCTTCAAAGAGCCCTGGTTTATATTTTCTCAGGGCACAACTACACTGTCTGTCTAAGTACACTTTTATGTCTACATAGTTTGAAAATCACATTTTCATACCAATTGCTCCAGTATCACTCCACCCCTGTACATTGTAGCACTCTTCATTTTTGTAACCTGAAGAGTACTGTCGATAGGAGGCTTATTGAAATGCTCACAGCTTCCCATCTCATACATTGGAAAACAGCACTATTCCTTGAGGCGAGGCTTGTAGGAGTTCAAATTTACCTACTTCCATTTCCGGTGGGATTTTATTTTTAACAAGTTTGTGGACAATAGGAAACTTGATCTCTGGCCACCATCGGGATCACTTAGCAGACATTAATCAGAAGGACCCTTTGCATTAAAGAAACCCAAAGTGTATTGCATTCTATTCAGTATGGAAAGAGGATAGCCACACTTTTAAAACTGCACAGATTTTGCAAACCGGAGCAGGGCTGCTTCCAAAACAAATTATTGTCCATTGGAATCTATGGTTACTTCTCAAATGTCCATTGAAGCTGATCAGCCTCAGTGGTAGAGAAACAATTACAGAAAAAATAAATGCATTCTTAAAACAGTTTGGAGCCTGCCCCTCAGAGAGCTGCCCTGCAATGTCTAATTATTAATCAATCACAAGTGGCCTTGAGCACCCGACTCTGTGGATATACTTGATTGGCCTTCTGAGAGCCCTGCCAAATAAATTACTATATCTCTGGTTTACAGATAAGGGAATTGAGGTTCAAATGCTTTCTGCAATACACTGCTTTTGGCAGAGAGTGGTCGAAGTAGGACTTGAGCTCAGGCAGCCTGGATCTACTGGCCCCATGTAGACAACTTTCTAGGGTAAATTTGGGGGGATCACATCATCTGAAAGGGTATTTTATATTAAAATACACAGAATACATAGATATTATTATCAAAAGAATCAGATCACCTAAGTAATTCAGGAAAGCATTTCCTTCCTTCCTTCCTTCCTTCTTCCCTCCCTCCCTCCCTCCCTCCCTCCCTTCCTTCCTTCCTTCCTTCCTTCCTTCCTTCCTCTGTCCCTCTCTCCCTCCTTCCCTTCTTTTTCTTTCTAACTCAGGGCTTTGCCAAATGATCTTCCACTGAGCCATATTCTGGCCCTCTTTTCTCATATTTCTTTGTGTTTACTCTGTAGCGCACAGGTTTTGAATTTGGGGGGATATGAATGGAGGTGAGATGCAATTATGGAAAATAAAAACAAACAAAGCCTAATTGGTCCATTTAGTCCTTCACTTGACCTTAGAGTTATCAGAGTCAAGCCCTCGGCTTTGTTTATTTGAAAAAAAAAAAGTATTCCTTGTTAAAACTGCCCATGGAAAGGCAGCATGAACCACGGTGCCCAGCTTCCTGTATCCAGCAATTCCGGATGCGTGGTGCGGGTTGGGTTTCTTCTCTTCCTTTAAGGCCCGCAGTGGGTGGGCAGCAGGAACAGTGGCAGGAAGAAGTCTCCTGACCTTGACCAGGAGCTTGATTTGTGTTTCAGACTGCTGGGCTGACCGATCCCCACTCCACGAGGCTGCAGCGCAGGGGCGTTTACTGGCTCTTAAAACTTTAATTGCACAAGTAAGTAAACCGGACTCCGTCCTCTGTGCTCCTGCTCTAATCTAGAATCTTTCTAATTAGCTCTGGCCATAGCTGTGCTCAGGTCCCTGCCATTCCAGGCATCTCTGTCTCCACCCCACCCCTATCCCCGCCCCCACACACTGTGTTCCTCTTGATTCTGCTTTTGCTAGGAGCTGTTGCATTTTCTGCCCACTTCTCCTCCTTTCCTTTTTGGGTGCTCCTCTCCCTGACAAGAAGTTTCCCTCTAAAGGACATGAAGGGGATCCCCAAATTTATGTTATGCTAACTCACCTCATGTTCTTCCAGTGTGCATTAGTGCCATCAGTCTTGAGATTGCATTCATAGGCTATTGACACGCTATGAATCACCGCAAAGCATGGTGACTCCTATCAACAAAAACACTTGGATTCTTGAAGTTTCTAGGGGTTTGGGGTGCAGCTTCCAGGCAGTGAAGTGGCAGTAGGGTCATGTGATGATTCATGGTGGGGGGAGGGGAGATCTGTTTTTACACACAGTCACGGGGGCTTCACCACTGGGCTGTGTAATGAGGTAGCGGCTGACTTTCTCCAGAGAGGGTGCCTAAGAAGGAAGTCACATTTAAAAAAAAAAAAACAAAAAACAAAACACCTTTTAAAAAAATTTGGCGCACACCTTTAATCCCAGCACTCAGGAGGCAGAGGCAGGCGGATCTCTGTGAGTTCGAGGCCAGCCTGGTCTCCAAAGCGAGTTCCAGGGAAGGCGCAAAGCTACACAGAGAAACCCCGTCTCAGAAAACCAAAAAAAAAAAAAAATATATGTATGGGTATTTTACCTGCATGCATGCCTGTGGACTATGTGCATGCAATGCCCTCAGGAGCCAGAAGAGGGCGCATGATTTTTTGGGACTAGAGTTACAGACAGTTGTGTGCTACCACGTGGGTGCTGGGACTGAACCCTGGGTCCTCCGGAAGAGCAGCCAGAGCTCTTCATTGCTGACCCAGCTCCCCAGCCCCTTCATTTTTTT